CAATTCCTTTTTCTCCTATTTTATCCTATGAGATAAATACCATTTGCTACCCCAACTGTTCAGTAAAATGTGCTGCTATACATCAAATGCTTTATGTCAGCAGGCTGTGGGGCAATCCAGGAAAGGACAGGGCTTTGTGGCTAGATTGGTGAGGCTGGGGGTGCCAAGCAGCATCAGGGAACTATGAAGGAGGATCTGGCTGCAATAGGACTCATGGACCATGAAGATCCAGCCTCTGGGAAGTCACAGGTGGATATGGAGGCTGTGTGATTCTGCAAGAAAGGTGATAGGAACCTTGCTTATCACAATTTTACAAAAATCTCAAAGGATAGGATGATCTCAGTTGTGCATATTATAACGTGCAAACTTCCAGGTGGAAAAGAAAATCAGTCATCTGGAAACCTGCTTAAGACCTGCAGGCATTTAGAAACATTCAGGCAATTGACTGCATTTTCCACCATCTATGACAACATCAAGCATTGCAGGGAAACGGCCTGGAATCATGTCATTGCCTCAGGCTAGATACGTACTTCACACAACAGAGAATTCCCTGACATTCTCATTTCTGACATCTGCTTATTACACAAACCATTGTGGGGAATAAGAATAAATTTATTCTGAACTGGTTCTTGCTTTTGCCCAGTGCTTCTTTCATAGGCCACAACGCCATGTTGAAATTCTTGATGAGCTTACATTTCATTTTATAGAACTTTGCAAAGTACACACTGGCATCCTTCTACATGTTTTGCTGAATTAAGTATTTGAACTGCTAAATGTGGTATAAGATACAACAATCAACAAAAATATGTTTTAAGTTATTCCATTGCTTTCTCTATATTTCCTCAGAGTCTGTTGCAAGGCCTTGATATAACTGCAATCTGTAAATACCAGCCCTACCCCCACTTTCAACAGTGCCATTCATCCAAGAATCCCAAAGCGTGTTTTAATAACGGACTCATTAATCCTCATAACACTCCTTCATTTGACACATGTAACTCTCACTACATGATATGTTGCTACTTACTCTGGATTTAATTTAACAGGTTTTTCCCCGTTGTGGGTAGTCATTTACATTGACCTCATTTTAGTTGAGTTATTGCTCAGATTTGAGCAAGTTTGAATGGCCTCATCCCAAAATGACATCTTCTGGCAGATAGAAGCAAACCATCTGAAGAAGCAATTATTATTCTTTTTTTAGGGAGAAGCTTCAGCAACAAATGACCCTATAAATAAACAACTGGATTTTAATCATGGGCGAAGAGAGTGAGACATCTTGCCATTTTACAAAAATGTGAAATTGGATGAATTTTAGAATTCACAAGAGGGAGGAAACGAAGACTTTTGCTGGGACTGGGAGACCCAGGGTGGCAAGAGCCTAACCTCTTCTCAAAGAAGTTTATTTTTCACATTTCCTCTTCCTAAACTTGCCTTCTTTGATATCTTTCCTTTCGGTGGTCAGACAGTTTTCTGGAGTTTTCAAAGTCCCAGACAGCAGTAGCAGAGCCCAAACTGGGAGTGGAATAAGGTCAGGTGTCCAAGAAAGTGTGGCTAGTAAAATAGACTTTGGAGATGGGTTGAAGTATCCACTGACTTAAGAAAACAGATAAGTTCAAGGAGGAAATGCATGCAAGGCAGAGTTGGTAGGCAAAGAGGAGTATAAGATTGACAAGGAGGTAGCACTTTGCAACTAAAGAGTATCGGGGGAAATTTGGACAAATTTTCACGAGCAGCATTCTTTTGGGACTGTGTGTCTACCCAATTGATACGGTTTGGATTTGTATCCCTGCTCCAATCTTATGTTGAACTGGAGGAGGGGACTGATGCGAGGTGATTGGATCAGATTTACCCTTTGCTGTTCTTGTGATAGTGAGTGAGTTATCACAAGATCTGACATTTTAAAAATGTGTAGCACTTCTCCCTTCACTCTCTTTCCCCCAGCCATGGTACAATGTGCTTGCTACCCCTTCCACCATAATTGTAAGTTTCCTGAGGCCTCCCAGTCATGCTTCCTGTTAAGCTTGTGGAACTGTGAGTCATTGAAACCTCTTTTCTTCATAAATTACCCAGTCTCAGGTAGTTCTTTATAGCAGTGTGAAAATGGACTAATACACCGATGGATAGTCCTCTATCATTTTTAAAAGCATGACACTCCAAACCAGACATCTCATAAGCTGACTCCTCCCTGTGGCTTCAGCTATACTTCTTTATATTTTTTTTGAGGCGGAGTCTTGCTCTGTAACCCAGGCTGGAGTGCAGTGGCATGATCTCGGCTCACTGCAACCTCTATCTCCCAGGTTCAAGTGATTCTCCTCCCTCAGCCTCCCAATTAGCTAGGACTACAGGTGCACACTACTATGCCCAGCTAATCTTTTTGTACTTTTAGTAGAGATGGGCTTTCACCATGTTGGCCACGCTGGTCTTGAACTCCTGACCTCAAGTGATCCACCTGCCTCAGTCTCCCAAAGTGCTAGGATTACAGGTGTGAGCCACTGCACACAGCAGCTATACTTCTATATAGTCATCTCTCAAATATCTCACACTAGCCTCTATCTCATCGTCCTAGAGCAGTGATTCTCAGACCTAATGCACCTTTTAAAACATATTTTGTAATGTCTTTTTTATTATCATGAAATTCATAAATAATACAAATTACCTATATATATATAACTAAAATAAAATGCCTTGACTATATTATAAAAAAGAAAGAAAATAATACAGTATGTATTTCAGTATGCAAGTACCTTGGGCACAACTTCACTGGAACACGAAATGTCAGATGTTTGCATCTTATCAAAAAAATCACAGGGCTGAGACAACTACAGTGGTAGGCAATACAGGTATACTATATCAACAACTCTAATGTCATGATTAGTGTTGCCATTGGTGCTGTGATTTTATGAAATGGTCAACAATTCTTGGTCAAGTTTTGAACCAAAGAACACATGATCTACCATTTACTTGCATGGTAGTTGCAATCCTGGATGTTGGTGTACATTAAAACATACGAAAGTATGTTGTGTTTCTATAGAAAATAATTTCTTGGAAATGAAAAATTATTTTTTTGTTTCTGAGAAAATGGTTGTTGGCTTAGATAATTGAATTTTTCCTACATCAGGAAAACAAAGTTCTTGAACTTTTTGGTCTTAGCGCCTCTACACTCAAAAATTGTTGAGAACCTTCTAAGAGGTTCATTTATGCAGGTTGCATTGATATTTACTGTATTAGAAATTAAAACTGAAATGTTAACATTATTTATTATCTTTAAAAATAACCCCATTTCATGTTAAAATAGTATTTTTATTTAAAAGTATCTGTATCTTCCTAAACAAAACATAATTTAATCAGAAGAGTGGCATTGTTTTACATTTTTGAAAATCGCTCTACTGTCTGGCTTAATTAAAGACACCTAAATTCTGTTATCCACTTCTGTATTTATTCTGTTGCCATATGGCATTTTGCTTGGAGTGTCTGAAGAAAATCCAGGCTCACACAGGGAAATAGTTGGAAAAGACAGGAGTGTGTAATAGATCTTTCAGGTAATGTAGACATTAGTTGATAACACACAAAACTCAATAAGCGATAGTTTCTTAAATGTTAGTTGCAACGTTGAAACAGAAGCCATATCAGTGAACATTTTGTACTCTACTATATTAAAATCCATTGGTTTAGTTTGCACTTCCAGTGGCTCTTTTACCATGCATGATTTTATAACAGCACAGGTTGGTTATTTGTAAAGTATTGGCTCACTGAGTTACACAGATCTTCCAAATGTTGACACATTTCATTATACAATATCAGTAAATCACATTAGTTAATACTGCCACTCATCTCATCAGAAGGGTCTTTTAGTGTTGAGAAACTGCCAAGCTCATGGTGGTAGTTACAAAGTTTCCATAATTCTAATTTTTTCTTTAATGCTTGAGTTTTATCATTGGCAAGAGGTACTTTAGTTGTTTTCTTGGAAGTAATTTCTTGGAAATGAAAAAAATTATTTGTTGTTTCTGAGAAAGTGGTCTGCAGGATATGCATCATAGTACATATGTCACTTCTTTTTTCAAATAAAAAATGATGTTTCATGAAAAAAGAGGCTAGTTCAGTTTGCAGTTTAAACAAAATTTTATTTTGATATGCAGCATTTTGCCAGAGTATTAAGAAGGTATGTACTGAAGGGCTGAGATTCAATGAAGTTAATTTTATTGCTTCATCAAGGACATCCTTAAATGAATCTGGAAGGTTTTGTTGGTGATTTTGTTAACACCAAGTGCATAGTAGTGAGTAATACAATAACCACTAGTATAGGTTCGTTGAGTGCTGCTGCCTTGATTAATGCTAAAGCATCAACATTTTCACTTACCGTTTCTTTTTGTCTCATCATTGGAGACATCAACTCAATGACAAAGGCACATAATGTGTTGGTCTTCCTGTGAAAATGGTTTTGACCTTGAATTATCTTTGAAAAGGACTCCGGGACCTCCAGGGATCCCTAGACCCCAACTGAGAATCAATGTCCTACTCAAGTATCTTGAGGGACATGCACACTACAATTCATTGTTGTGTTTATACTGCATCTAGTGCAACAAATTAATATCTCTGGTTCCCATACTCTAACCTCAGGAGTGCCCTCCAAATCATTTTGACCATCAAAAATGCTCCCTAGGCATTTCCCCAATACTGCCTAGGGCCCTGTGTGGCCATTTGAAAAATATCTCTCTGGAAGTCCTGATCTGTGTTACCAACTTGATCAGGAAGCTTTTCACATGAATGCTGACATGGAATCACTATGTACAAACCAAACTGATCACTTCCAGATAGATAGAAAACATGTCAGAGCCAGAAGGGCCAGTAGGGTTCACTGTGGTCTACCTTTTACAAATGAAGAAACTGAGGCACAAGAAAAAGAAATGACTTCAAAGTCATAAGTATTAAAGTGACTATTATTAAATAGTGGTCCATTTCATCATCTTTCAGATATTTAATACATTTTCTCATTTATTTTGTAGGTATTTCAAGCCTTGTTTTGCAACCGATAAAAATGAGACTCAGAGGTGAATGGCTTCCCAGAGTTTACAAAACTAGTAAATGGCAGAATAAAGACCTTCAATCCAGGTTTCTTGGTTACAAATGCTGTGCTCTTTCCTCCTGGCCGTGAGTGACTCTCCCTTCTCTGGTTCTCCTCATGCGAATCCAATTAGGTACCAAGACCTTCAGATTTTACCTTCATCAAATTTTCCACATTCACTCTGCATTTTCGCTGCCACTCTGTAGTTTGGGTTCTCATTTCATCTTATTTTGACTTGTCTCTTAACCAGGCATCCTGATTCTGCTCTGTTCTTTCTTTCATTCATCCTGAATGCTTTCCTCATGCTAAAGTCATGGGTTGGAGCAGGACACCTCTTCCGTCTACATCTCTCTCCAGGAAGGTAAATGGTCCTTAAGCTCATTTTAAGAAACCCTGAATAGATCACATTCATTTATAGACCATTTGGTTTCCCTCCTATAACTGTTTTCTGACCTCTGACTGTCCAAACCATCTTGAATATGCAGACATATGGATTAATAAGATCTACAAAAACCCCAACATGGTTACATCCAAAGACGAGAAAGGCCTGGTAGGGTGTTGGGATAAATATAACACCCTCTTGGCTTCACTTCAGAAGACTTAAAAAAAAAAAAGTCTTTAAATGTCCTTCAGAAAGAATTGCCTTAAGGCCTAGAGAGAAGCAGGACCTCCTAATTCCAGTTTGACCCTTTGAGCTGTTCCAGGGACCTACTCTAGCCCTCAGCTCCAGTTATGGGACAATGTGGTTTTAGGAATGTGTAGGATTTATAGCTTAAAAAATGCCAGAAAATCAGGAATTTAAATCCCTCCTGATTTATGCCTGGCTTGTCAAAGGCTCTAGCGCTTTTGGAGATGCTGAATCTCTTAGTACGGCTCCAAAGCATGAGCTGCGTCTTGCTTTTCAGCCGATTGTTATTAACAATGGTTGCCTTTAACGCTTTAGTGGCACTCAGCTGTAATCTTTACACTTGGTCTGTTCCTGCTTTGGGAGGTGTTATAAATTTCACGACTGAAAACAAAATTATAATAGGAACATTCTCTGACTTTCTTAGCCAACATTTCTGAGACTCGTTACCTGGGGGACGGAGGCTTAAGTATCCTTTATTGGTGCTCGCACATCTGAGCTGCTCTCTTGTTGATGCTAAAAGTGTGCAGTCCATCCGTTCTAAAGAATAATTCTTTTCCAGAGAAGAGACAAATGCAAGCACACTCATTTGTTGTCTGTATTTGTGGTTGCTTATTATGGATCCTGGAGCATTTGGTGCAGAAAACTGGACCCTCCTCCCCTACTTGGTTACTGTAAGCGATTTAAATCAATCCCTTTTATGCAGCAGTAGGTACAGGAAGCACAATATACAGCCACTAAATATGCCATTTAAATTCTTCTCAGGCAAAGGTTAAAAGAAAGGTGGGGGGGAGGAGCCCAGAGAGCAGAGATTGCCGAGGTAGCTGTATTCAAATATTTTTGATAGGTTTCTAAGATACATGTCTCTTTTGCTGAAGCAAATGCATTCTTGTCTGAAAAGAAAACAAACAGGGAAAATGTTAGCTCTTGTGCTGATGAGCTCATGAGAAATGCCAAAAGAGTTGTTTGCGCACAGCGTCAAATATCACGGTTTCTTTATTGTGGAGCTTTGATGCTCAGAATCAGGCGGAACGTTTCCATGACAACTAATAGATGTTATGTTTATTTACTGAGTGGCAGGGAATGACAATGTCAGCAACTGACATTTTAGTTTCTTTCTCCTCTTTTTTTTTTTTCCAGTAAGGATTTGTTTTAGTCAATGAAAATGGCAACAACATCTTCCATTTTATTTGTCAGAGCTCCTATGGCAAAAGTAAAGAGCATTTTAATTTGGTTCAGTTATTCCCTGAAACGTACTTTAAAGACCCATGGCTTTATGGGCCTTGGAGAGTGTTTACAGTGGGCATTCGCTGGTGAGAAGATGGTTGGCAAAGTAAAAAGCAAATTTCAGATTTTATTCACTTGAAAATGATCTAATAACTGCATTCCGGGCTGTCTAAATTTATGTCGCTCTCATTAACGTCCTCTAAATTTCAGGTGACTTTGTTTACGCTCCCACTGATACGTTCGTAAAAAGGATGTCTTAAGACCTGTAACAAGAACACAACCTCAGCAGAGCCAGGAGATGAGGTTGCAGGGTGGGCCAGACAGATCCTCACTGGTTATAATGATATACTCCACACCGTTATCTGCCTGTGGCTTGTCTGCCCTCTAAATTATCTGCAGTTAATTTTTAATGCTGAACTGGCTTCTTCCTACTATCCAGCTGGTGTGTGCTCAAGGGATATAAACCAATGTTAGCATTTGCTTTAAGAAAACAAACTTAGGAAGGCAAGCTGCTGGTGGGGGTGGAGGTGGATGTTCATATGATGCGTGCTAAAGCAGAGAATTGGTATTTCTCTTAGTCCCTGTTTTGTATTATCTCTGCTGCTGCTCTGATTAATTTGACAATTGAAACTTGAGATACTTTGGGCTTTTGAAGAAAGAACTCCAAGTGCTGGAGGAAACAAAGTCGGTGTGTGACTATTAGGAGGTGCTCAAAGTATTATTTCCAGAAAGTGCACTTCTCCCATCTCCTGTTGTCTCAGGTAGAAATTGGCTTATCTCAGAACAATTCCATCACTTCATTAAACTTATCTATTGCAGGCCCGTTTTTCATGCTAGAATGTAAGCTGCTTGAAGGCAGGGATTGTGTCTTCCTTATCTTTTTATCCACAGCACCGTGCACAATTTGGTACAGCAAGCATTCAAGAAACATTTGTGGAATCAACAGATAATGAATGAGTGAATGATCACAACCCAGCTTGTGTCATCTCAGCTCCTGGGTGGAATCACGCACTCCCTCTCCTGATCATGCAGTCATGACAGTGCCCCTCATGTGGTCCTGTGGCTTCTAGTTCTGTGGAATAAATGTATGAATGAGTGTCCACATCAGGATGGGAGCCAACATTTCTCAAGGGCATGTTCTCCTGTTTTGCAGTGTGTACACCCAAGTGCACATGTACACAGCAAATAATTCAACAGAAAAGTAACAAAGGAAAGAAGCAGATTCTCATGAGACCATATCTAGCCCTGAGGAAAATGTGGGAGATTAGGAAGAACACTGAAGATCTGAAAAACTGGGATATTCTGTCACTAGTCACAGTATCTTTGGGTCTCATCAACTTCACTTCTAAAATCAGGGATTTGAACCAGAGGTACTTTTCCCAAATTGTGTTCCAGTAGATACCAATGTCTATATGGTGTTAATAGCTCTTCTGACACAAACAACCAAAAGAAATCAAGCACTATGTAAAATGAAATTAACCAGGAATACCTGGCATCTCATAAGTCTGAGAGGTCTTAGGAAATATGTGGCTTCTGCTGTCCAATGTCTTCTGTGATTATGCAACCAGGCATCCTCCCAGAGGAAGCCTGTTTTAGTGTGTTTGTGATGCTACAGCAAAATACCAGAGACTGAGTAATTTGTAAATAACAGAAATGTTTTTCTCATGGTTCTGGAGGCTGGAAAGTGCAAGATCAAGGTGCTGGCATTTTTTCTGGTGAGGGCCTTCCTGCTGCAACCTCACATAGCAGGAGGAGGAAAGGCAAACTGGAGCAATGCTACATGAATTCTCTTTTACAAGGGCCTCCATGTCATTAATGAGGGGGAAGTTCTGATGGCCTAACCACCTCTGAAAGACCCCTCTTCTTAATGCTATCACATTGGCAACACCTGAATTTTGGAGGGGAGCTGTTCAAACCATAGCAAAGCCCAGGGGCAAAAGCACTGCTTTTTCCAAACATATTTGATAATTAACCATTTTGCTGAAGGAGACTTCTAGATTTCCATGAAACACTGGGGTCCTGGGCTGGTGGTTCTTTCCCCAGGGGAAAACAAGCTTGAGGTGATAGAAATTCTGAGTTAAACTCTTTTTTTTGTTGTGTTACTTAGTCACATTTTAAAAACTCATTATATTTTGCCAACATAATAGAAAAAGTAGAGACTTAGAAAATTGAGGTAATACTATCTGGAAATTTTATCTCAATTATTTTCTCAAATAATTGAGAAATAATTATCTGGAAATATTATATAGGAAAATTGAGGTAATATGTAGTGGGGTCTCCATCCCACTACAAATGGGCAGCTCCTCCCCCCACTTTTTTTTTTCCTAAGATAGAGTCTTATTCTGTTGCCAGGCTGGTCTTGAACTCCGTGATCCAGCCGCCTCAGCCTCTCAAAGTGCTGGGATTACAGGCGTGAGCCACTGTGCCTAGCCCAGCTCCTCCCTTTACTGGAACTCCTTGTGAGATTTCATTTGAAGAATGGCTCCATAGCTATCAGAAAGTCTGGAAACCACATATCTAGTCTAAAACCTTTATTCCAGATGAGAAATAATGAGGCCTAGAGAAGTAATATCACTTTCTTTAAGGCAGAATCTAGTAGCAAACTATGGGGTGGACCTTGTTGTGCTCTCTCCTCATCACATAATTTTTCTACTCAATAATAATGTTTATCAAAGTTCAGATTTATTTGAGGCTCATAGGCTAAAACTTTAGACCGCGAAGGAACCTACTTTTCTGATGCTATTGTCCTCAAATAATTTATTATGTGCTATTGACATGCTAAACAAGACACATAGAGCAGGCTAAGATGGTGCAGGAAAATTAAAATGGTCAGAAATATAATAGTTGTGACCTTTAGTAATTTCTGTGAGCTTCAGTGTGCAGGATATTATTTTTGGTTTTGAATATTTCAATATTATCATCACCCATCTAAGCAGTCTTATCTGAACTGCACAGGGAGAAAACA